AACTTGGATCGCCCCATCAGTTCTTGCAAATGGAGCTCTGAGGAATCCAGCACGCGGGTGACTCAGAGCCAGACACTGACCGTGCCGATCCAGCACGCGGGTGACTCAGAGCCAGACACTGACCGTGCCGATCCAGCACGCGGGTGACCCAGAGCCAGAAACTGACCGTGCCGATCCAGCACGCGGGTGACTCAGAGCCAGACACTGACCGTGCCGATATTCTTTGTACTGTCGTGGACATTGAAATCCGGTTGAATGGCCAGGGCCGGCGGCGCCCTCAGTGCGTACAGAACGTTGCATGTGTGTACCGTGTGCGTACTCACGGCTGCATGGCCAGCGCCCTGGGGCCGCTTGACCTCCGACCGGATTTCCATGACCGGTATAGGGTGTTACCGTCCGTCCGTCTGTCCTGTCTTCCTTGTCCAAGACGTTGTATCCATGTGAAATACCTCCACCCGGTTCTGTGTTTGTTCTGTCGTTATTCACATGCAGATCAATCGGTGTACAAGACGTGCAACTCTCCGATCTCAGCCTTCGACTTGATATCGTGGATGTGAAGACCACGAACGGCGTTCTGGTGTGGAAGATTGGTGACATATCTCGACGTCGTCGTGAAGCAATCAGTGGCAAGACACCCAGTCTGTACAGTGCACCATTCTACACATCTCCATGTGGATACAAGATGTGTGCCAGGTATGTTGTGATATCATTATACATGTACATCATGCATGTAGTGATTGAGAGTGAGTGAGAGAGTGTGAAAGAGAGAGTGTGTGTATGTGTGTGAGAGAGAGAGAGAGAGAGAGAGAGAGAGAGAGAGAGAGAGAGAGAGAGAGAGAGAGAGGGAGGAGAGAGAGAGAGAGAGAGAGAGAGAGAGAGAGAGAGATGGAGAGAGAGAGAGATGGAGAGAGAAAGGGAGGTAGGGGGGAGGGGGAGGGAGAGAGAGAGAGAGAGAGAGAGATAGAGAGAGAGAGAGAGAGAGAGAGAGATAGAGAGAGAGAGAGAGAGGGGGAGAGGGGGAGAGAGAGAGAGAGAGACGGAGGGAGGGGGGGGGAGGGAGGGGGGAGGAGGGAGAGAGAGAGAGAGAGAGAGAGAGGGGGGTCTGAGACTCCCATTTTATGCTTCACTGCAGGCCCAGTCTCTGTTCCTACCGGTCATAACTGTGTCGCCTTCCTTCATGTGCTGACTGTGTGTGTGCGTTTGTGTGTGTGTGTGTGCGTGCGTGCGTGCGTGTGTGTGCATATACGTGTGTGCGTGCGTGTACGTGTGTGTGTGTGTGTGTGTGTGTGTGTGTGTGTGTGTGTGTGTGTGTGTGTGTGTGTGTGTGTGTGTGTGTGTGTGTGTGTGTGCGCATGCATACATGCGTATGTTTATGCTTACACACACTTGGTCACGTATGCATTCTTGCTTTTCAGGGTCTACCTGGATGGAGATGGAATGGGCAAGGGTGGATGTATCAGTGTGTTCTTTGTCATCATGAGAGGTGAGTTGCTGCAAGGAAAACACACATGCATGTACTTTTTTCATGATGCTTTGGTCTCAGTGCAATCTCACTTGTTTGCTTTCCCTCATTTTGCGTTGGGGTGTCTGAGACTCTGTGTGTGTGTGTGTGTGTGTGCTTGTGTGTATGTGTGTGTGTGTGTGTGTGTGTGTGTGTGTGTGTGTGTGTGTGTGTGTGTACATGCGTGTCTGTGTGTGTTGTGTTCTCTCGATATTCCAACAGGTGAATATGACGCTCTGTTGCTCTGGCCGTTTCAACTTCGAGTCACCATGATGCTGATAGACCAGAGTGATAGCGTTGTCAAGCGTAACATCACCGAGGTCTTTAAGCCGGACGGACGATCGGCTTCGTTCAAACGTCCAAAAAACGAAATGAATACAGGTGTGTTTAGTTATGAAATGATGCGTTGTTTTCCTGTGCGATGACATTCCCCAAACTGTCTTCGTCTAGTCGCTTGCATGTGTGATATGAGCATGCTCGATGTTGAAGTTGTGAGTCCTTTTGTCAGTCTTCTTGTTCGTTGCATGGAAGTCAGTTGTCCTTGTTTTTCCGTTATGCCCTAGTTCGAATAGATTTATGTAAAGAAACAGTACTTGTTTATTGCGTCCTGCGTTCCGGGGAACAGAACATCAGAATGATATTCCGTAACAACGTCCTTGTCCATCACGGTATCCATTCCAAACAAGGATTAATTTATAGAAAATAAAAAGGACCCAGGAACTACAAGTTACGCTATAATGTCCACTAACACCACTAGTTACTAAACAAGCAGCTCATGCGATAACATTGCACGACACTGACCGACGGTACTGACGTTCTACAACTAGCTGGCTAACAGCTCTAGCACGTCTTGGATGCGCACTCCAACAGCCTTCCAACTTGGAAGGTTCTAAGTTATAGAAATAACATAAGGAGGGGAAGGTGAGCGCAACCAAGATAAGCACGAGCTGAAAGTCTCAGCTGGGAAGGATGTTGGCGGATGTTCATGCATGTTGATGACGATACTGGCAAGACCATTGGACAATACGGTCAAACCACGATTCAAGGACGCAAATCAACATTCCACACAACGTGTGTTGCTCAATAGTTCCTGGGCCCTTTTATTTTCTACAAATTAACCAATATGTGTTACCTCTTGATGTCAGAACTCATGCCAAGTGTTATCTTATTGTGATGTGATTAGCTGCGTGCACAAGGTCAATATGCCCGCTAATAGGTTCCAATAGTTTAGTTTTGAATGTGATGAAGTTCAATGTATCTCTCCTTTTCTATTTTTTCATTCTATTCCTCTCTCACTCTCTTTTCTGTTCCCTCTCACTCTCTGTCTCTCTCTCTCTCTCTCTAAATAAATACATAATCTTGTTCTGTCTCTCCTCTCTTGTTGCATGGCTTTGTCTCCAGGGAGCGGGTGCCCCATGTTTGCCTCCGTCAATGTTTTGGATTCACCCACGTATGTCAAGGACGACATCATCTTCATCAAGGTCATTGCCGACAAAGCCTCGACTCATTTCGTACCACCAGACCACGACCGGCAGTAGAAAGTGTTGGAACCCCCTCTTTTGTCTGTCTTTGCCTGCCTATCTCTCTCTCTCTCTCTCTCTTCACTTTGCTCCTCTCTCTCTCTCTCTCTCTCTCTCTCTCTCTCTCTCTCTCTCTCTCTCTCTCTTTCTCTCTCTCTCTCTCTCTCTCTCTCTCTCTCTCTCTCTCTCTCTCTCTTCTCCCCCCCCCCCCCGCACACCCACACACACACCCACTACCAACTACAACACAACGCCACACTTGCTCACACCGACAAAAAAATATTCTCTCTCTTCTGCCTGTCTGTACCATCACTGTGCCCTACGCTGGTCTTGCCGAAAATCAAGGTCTGGTCAATCCGTGGTCCGATCTTCCCCGGAGGAAGGCCCGCACGCCAAACTAAGAGGGCGTTGTTGTCAGAATTTCTGACCTTGAGTGAGTAAATTTGTACACATACAGTGCTTTCATGCGTGAGTATCGCTACTTAAGTACGTGCACGAGAAGTGACGGCGTCATACCTAGCGCGTACAGCCAGGCTGAATGTCTCCGACTCACCCCAGCCCAGGCATGTAGGTCCATGTCAGCATCCTGCAATGACTACCATTGTTGCCGTAGACAGTTGTCGACGGTCCGTGATTGCTAATCCTTACGAACTGCATTTTGATGTAAGCGCATCGTATTGCCCAGTGCAGTTCACCGCACGACTTCATGTACATTATTTTGTGTTTTCATTCCCCTTTGGACTTACAGTTTACGTTGATATTAGTATGCAGTGAGGGATCGTCACACATACACACACACACACATACACACACACATACATACACACACACACACATACACACACACGCACACACACACACACACACACACACACACACACACACACACACACACACACACATGTACGCATGCATACACGCCATTCATGCATACTCGTATGCACGCACACACACACACACACGCGCACATAACTATCTGCGTATTTTCCCCCGCCATGCTTCGCACTTGATCATTCTAACTGTGTACCCTGTGTACTCCACCTCTCTACTCCCTTGAGCACCTCTCTACTCCCTTGAGCACCGTATCTACTGCCTTGAGCACCGTATCTACTGCCAGGACTCCCGGCGTTTGCTTGGAAACCAGAGCAGAATGGCATTGCTGACGTTTCCTTGAGCGAATCTCCTGTATCCCCTGTATCCACTAATTACACCTGCAATTGCTCTCATGCAGTGGATGCTGCCAAAGCCATTGCTAGCGCTGTATTGAGATGGTGGAACCATTCCTCTGAAAGTGTTACTGCTCAGGCAGTTTCAACGCATCGAAATTCTTGACACCTATGATTGATTGTGGACTCAGCACACTTGTTCTTCTCAGAGTCTTCAGCGTAAACACTAAAATGTACATGCAATATGCCGCCAGTACACGGTCATAACTATTAGTTTAACCCCGCCAGCATAATCATGTTATATCAGCGATCTGCGTAGCGATGGCTGCTTCTAGCTGCTGCTCCTCTTTTCTATACAGTCGCCATGGCATTCTGAATGAGTGCCCTAGTCCTGGTAACACTCACGGCTGATCACGCTCGTGCACACTGTTCAAACGTTTGAATTTTTATCCTTCAATGAAAGGAATGGAGATTTTTTTAAATTGTACAGTTGAGTTTTTTTTTAGAAGATCATTTTGACCTGGCCACTGGCTAAGAATACGTACATAATAATTACGTTATTGTAAACCATTCCATTGAGTCTATGGAAAAGTTTTCAACCTGGTCCTTCATTCCATCACCGCTCTTGATTGATACATAACGCTTTGGTTACTAAATCAAAGTACATGTCTATGCATATCCCGCGTTTCATAAGCTATTGTACACGACTTTTAAATATTTATATTATTTTATCGACGTTACAATTTTCAGAGCCACCCTTCTGATAATTTCGCATGAACATCGCTTGCAAAGTGTGCAAAGAACCCTTTCTGTTCAATTCTTTTGTATTATTAATTTTCATCTTTAGACTTTACGTGCAACTCTCAGTTGGAAGTTGTAGGATTCATCGGCGCTGCGCGTGCATCCTTTTTCAAAGTACTCCCCCCCCCCCCACACCCCCAACAGCGTTTCTGATGTTCGCCTGTTACTGCTGCTATTGCCAACATTGCTACAACTGAATAGATAACATTTCTCAAAATGCGAAAACTCCACTGTAGCCGTTTGGAGAGTGTTGTGAAGATGTATGAATAGATAACGTTACAAGTAATCTGCAGACAAGATTAGTGTATTTGAACTGTTGCCGCTGCATGGACTTTGACTTATTCACATTCTCTTGCTGCATGAATGCATGTCTCAGCTTTTTTTTACCAAGATTAACAAAGAGGTTCCAGGCTGTCCAAGGGAGTGCTCAATACCGAGCGGCAGAGCTAGTTCAAACAATAAGAGGACAGAGAAAGTGTTTTAACTCTGAGTTTCACGCACTAGGCGTTCATCAGAAAACAGCAATGAGTAACTCTGTATCAGTACTGGTTTTTATCACTCCCTTAGTATTGACTCACATAGATTTTTGCCATACCTATGCAGTCAAATATTCCTGCATATTTCACTCCTTAGGGCTATATTGACTGCTTATATTTGACTGCTTAGGGGTTGCGCAGTTGAACAGTGCCTAGTGCAGCATTGTCACTGCATGAGTAGGTGGTGGTGCAACGGTTGTGCAATCATAAAACCGGGATTCTTGAGGTTATCGTTCTGGAATTTGAAATACGGACTGTTTGTCGTGATAAATCTAATATTGACTTCGTACTTCGTCAGTATAGGAAATAAAAACCTCGTAAAAGACCTCGGCTTTTATTTCCTTTATTGACCTCGTACTCAGTCAATATTAGATACATATACCCACAAACTTAAGTGTAAATGACTACATCATAGCGCAAATCTGAAAGGCGCAAATTACAGCAGTGAAAAGTGTAAATGACTGCGTCATGGCGCAAGTCTAAAAGGTGCGAATGACCGTGATGACAGCAGTGGGCCATGGGCCGGTGCCAGTGGTGAAAGGTATCACTTCAAGTGACAAGCATGCATGCACTGGATCATACATGTACATGTAATAACACACGTTATTTTCGGTGTAATTTTAATTCGGTAATTTCGGTAGAGAATTCAGGCACCTATATTTGGATTACACCTAAAAGGCACTAGAGTATGCACGGTATGTGAAGGGTAGGCTGGTCACCTAATTCTACATTACACCTGAAACCTGGCAGGTCCCTGGTACCAAAATTTAAATACACCAAAAATTACATGATGCGCATGAGCAAACAGATTTAGCACTTTTCAGCTAAAAAAGCTCAAAAAGGGCACCTACAGTTTGACAGCCTAGGATAGCACTTTCCCAAAGGTGCTATCCTAGGCTGTCAAACTAGCTTTCACCTGTATATTTTTTATGCAGTTTCCCCACCATGCCACCACCACAGACAGTCATGCGTCGCTGGTGACGCATATGCGTACATACGCGCCACCAACGACGCGCGAATACTGACATATGCTTTGCTTGCCTTAGCAGTTTAGTGCGGTGCTAGCCATACCCGGCACTGTCACGTGATCTCGTTTCCTTCTGAACGGCCGCTGGCTGGTTACCATGGACAACGGACCACTGGATGCTGGACTTTGGTACTACAGTAGATATTGGTTATAACGTGCCCTTCTGCTTTTTCACATTTTATCACTATAACCGGTATATCACTACATCCGATTTTCAACTGCGCTCGAGCGCTCGTCATACATACACATTATAGTTTATACACGTGAGGGTACTCGATCGCGCTAATGTAGCGTACTGATACATGATGCATGCTGCTGCACCTTCCCCAGTCTAGAGTCAAGAACTTCTTGGCCCAAAGGCATCATCATCCAGGAAGCATCAGACCAGAATACACTATGAAAACACACATGTGGCTCCAAGTCGAGACATCAATGCCTCACACTCGTGTGTTGCTATCACTATAGACGATAATGTTTCTGCACAAAGAGGTGTTTTGAATGGTGATTCTGTATCCTTATAGCCGATTTATCGCTATATACGATATATTGGTTATAATGATAGTTTGACTGGCTTTTTCTGGTTTTGCTTTTGATATTTTCATTTTGTATCAATATAGCCGGTTTATCACTATATCCGATGACTTTATAACCGATATCCACTGTAGTAGTAGTACTAGAGAGCTGGAATGCTAGCCATGTCACATGGCATGGCATGTGTCACTAGTACTAGTACTAGTAGTAGAGTACTCAGAGTAGAGAGCTAGAGCTAGCCAGCCATGTGTCGACAGTCATCAATGCGCGCATGCATGCACATCCATGCAGACTGACACGTGGCTACAAACATAATATTATTATTATTATTACTAGCTAGCTAGCATCCCACTAGTCATTATGCATGACAGTCAGTGCACTGTCATATGAGTGGATCATATCATGCAGTAGAGAATAATAATCTACTGCATGCACGACACTGGGCCAGGGGCATGGGTCGATCGCGGAGGTAGCTGTACATCTGGACTCTAGTAAAAAAAAGTATTACTATTACTACCCGGTTCCTCGATCCACCAAGGCGCCGCCCTAGCGGTGGCAGGCTAAGCCAAGGCAAGGTGCACCGGTGGTGAACACTAGAACAGCGGCGTCAGTCCACACGATGAGCCAGTCTGCGGGTTGCAGTGGTCGCGGCCAGTTTAGTTTTTTGCATGTCGGCAGACGATTTACTAGTACTAGTAGTGACAGTACTGCTCGTACACTACTACACTAGTACACTGACTGTCGTACTCGCAGTTCAGCGAATCAGAGCAGTATTACGGAAAGCCTTTTATTAGTTTAGAGTTCAGACGTCGATACGATTGCTACAGAGTAGTCTAGACTGCATCGACCAGCAACGCTCATCGGTAAGTGAGAAACCCTCTTGACAAGTAGAATATCATTTTTAGGTCGAAAGCCTCTTTTACGGGTTGTTTACAAATTGTACATGTACGTCATGTACATGTATGTGTTCGATTGCCGGCATTATCTCAGGAACTAGAAATTCAGTTATTGGCATATTGCGAGTCCACGTGACTTCGCGTAGCACACTGTACGGGTATCAACTACCACAGTATAGGCCTTGGCGGATAATGCTCGAAAAGGTGGCAGATTCTGCTTTTTTTGCACCGAAATTGGCAGAACCATACAAACCTTATGGCGGGCAATTCCTCGAATTCTGCTCCATTTCTTTATCCACATACCAAACATGCATGAAACTTACCAGAAAAAGTACCGAATTCTGCCAATTTTTCTGCCGGCATTATCCGCCAAGGCCTACCACAGTACCGCTCTACTACTGTACCAGCCTCGTTCCTGTTGCCCTTTCACGCTGATGCTCTAGCTCTCTGTCCTTCGTTACCGACTATTACTTACCACAACGGTAACAGAGGCAGAGTGAATGATGACTAGGCACCGGCGGATTATGCGGCATAATTATTGGCATAATTTGGTGGTTGAAAATTTGGAGCATAATTTGGCATCCTCTCGGAGGTAGGAGCATAACTACACGATTATACCACAGTTCTAGTATGTAGGCTATACAATTGTGTACAATGCACCTGATCAGTGCTGGTGGTCTGCATGGTAAAGGGTTCGGAGGTCATGCGGATAGTGTTTTCAATGAAAAGCAGGGTAGAAATCATGGCAATACAGTATTGTATGCTCGAACTCGTCTTCTTCAAAGTTCTTTCTCACACTGACACAGTACATGTAGCAGAAGATGCGAGTGAATCAGCCTTCATCAGGTATCCCGGGGCGGACGAGATAGTGGCGGGTAGTCCGCAAAACTCCGTGTACAACATGTACATGTACATTACATTTGTACATTATGCATGTTACGAAGTCCTGACCTCTGGATTCTAGCAGTCATGATAAGACTGCAGGCTATCGATATTGCTCGAAATTGATGTACATGTATAGTTGATGTTCGGTCATGATAGAAGGAGAAGTGGAGCTACGGGAGAGATGAGCTGATTATTCGCAGGGTGAGGGTGACATCGGTTGGAAGAGTATGATGATTACGAAGACTGTGAGTTGAACATGATAATTTTCAAAGGTATCTCAAACTAATTTGGCAATGAAATAATATTTTTACTGAAGTACAAAAGAAATCAAGATCACTTAGTGATGAATAGAAGAAGTAATGTTTTCTCTTTTCCATGTTGATCTCTAACATGCATGGACACCTTGGTATGGGGATACTCATGTATTTTGTTGTACTTATGGCCACTTGCAACTGCGAAAAAGGCACAATTTTCCGAACTTTGAGGCTCCATAAGTACAACAAAGTGAATATATATCCCCGGGTGCCAAAGCATAATATTATGAGGATTTTACGAGCATAATGCGAGAATCCATGAAAGCATAATTCCATGATTTCGCGAGCATAATCTGCCGGAGCCTAATGATGACTGACTGCGCTCACTGGTTGAACACGGTCGTTGTGTTGGTGAACTAATATTCCCATTTTCTACAATAGACCGCCTTTTACTTTGTGGGCAGATTAGCTAGGCCGCACCAATACCGGATGAGAGTTTTGTAGAAACCCTAGCATAGGTGGAGGTTGGCTAACAAGCAAACAGAGCGACTTGACAACACACAGTGCTAGCATTGCTCACGGCGACGTGTGCATTGTACATTCATGATTGTAACGATGGTATGGTGACACCGCAGTGCAGGCGAGTTCTGGGTGTCGACACATAGGTCCTAGGTAAACGGAGCGACTTGAAAACACGCTACTTGTACTAACTAATTTTTTTACTTGCAGTGCTAGCAATAGTAGCATTGCTAGACCGTAGGCGTAGACGTGTGCGTTGCAGGTGGTTGTAACGGCACCACACTACAGTGGTATGACACGCACCTGACTGACCAAGACTAAGAGGCAATGCAGGCCACGAGTTCTGTGTGTCTTGGGTTAGAACTTAGAACGAGCGTAAAATCGTCGCTGTTGAGTGTTGCGTTGTAACTTGTTCACGACGACGGTAGCACGCTATGATCATTAGTGTAAAACACTGAGCAAAGGAGGGCATGAAGACAGCACGCATGCATGCCCAAACGGGTCAAGAAGTGGGAAGCTTCGGCCAGCCAAGACAGTTGTGAACTCCATGTCGATGCAGTGTCAAAAGCGCGCCTTTTCTAGGTGGCCTGTTCACCTCTACGTGCCAATAGTACCTTTGAACTCTTCGCGCCAATTTTCCTGCCACCATCTTCCTGAAGACTTTACTACGTCTTTAGTAATCCTGCCACTGAGCTGAGGCACACGTCCCGGGGTATTCCCCGTGTAAAGTACCTGCATCCCTGGCTAGATCTAGGCTAGACTGTGCACAACTGCACATGTGACAGAATCTCAGCTGGACGTCACTATGATGATTATGATTGTGTCACCAATGACTCACCATGCCATGATCACATGTGCACAGACTCAGTGTCAGTGACAGTCAGTGTCACAGTGTGTCAAGACAAGAGGCTTACATCATACTGTACATGATTGTCATATACATGATTATAGATCTACATCTACATGAATGTACATAATTACATGTATGTACATGTATGCCTGCACTGACTGACTGGCTGTATGATGGTATGTTGAGTACTACATGTACATGTACAATGTACAATGATTATGTACATGTACATGTACATGTACATTGTACATTGTAGTCTTGCGAGTCTCTATTTTTTATTTTTTTTTATGAACCCCACATTTACAGGGTAGAATGATATTCAAATAATCTACGTGGAGATAAAAGTTTAATAATAGCAATGAAAAGTATGAATGCTGCAGACATCACCACGCAACATGACAATTTGTTCAAGGTTTGGTTTTGTGTGTTTCCAAAATCGATTTTCACGTTCCGATCATCAGTGGAAATACGGAACTAAAGAGATCAAGGTTAAACAGTGTCGGGAAAGTGGCGTTTGTCCAAGTGCCATACAGAAGCGCGTAGTTGTTTCTGCACTGTTCATGCCCGTTTGTCACACTTACTCTTTATTTTAGTTCTCACTTTTTGTAATACTTACCACAAGTTACCCGTCATGTGTCACACTTCTTTGGATTTTTAACCTTTGTTTTTCCCTTGATCTCTTTAGTTCCGTATTTCCACTGATGATCGGAACGTGAAAATCGATTTTGGAAACACACAAAACCAAACCTTGAACAAATTGTCATGTTGCGTGGTGATGTCTGCGGCATTCATACTTTTCATAGCTATTATTAAACTTTTATCTCCACGTAGATTATTTGTAGAATGATATTCTAATTTTAATATTAAAATATTTCAGAAATGTTAGGTGCTCAATATTTTTGGTGTGAGGGCAAAAGGCCAGGTTAGGTGAACAGAAGTTTTAGGCTTAGAGAAGCAATTCCCTATTTTAGTATTGGATTACATTGCATATGTGTGTTTGTGTTTGTTGTTGAAATTTCTAGCCTAGGTATGAAACGGACGCACCGAAAGCATCGAAAATAAACGTACCCCCGAAGATTTGTGAATTAAAATTTACAGTACTCAGTACATGTAATCACGTGTCATGGGCGTACACTATGCCTGGGCATACACTATGGCTGTACATGTACATCATGCAGGGTACAAACATGTACATGTACATGTTTGTACCCTGCATGATGTACATGTAAATGCACATACATGTAGACCTACTGTACATACTGTTTCCTCTGAGCCAAAAATGCGATAGTACTCGTAAACAGGACACACTTCAGGCTCTTTACGAACATCTTGAAAGTTTTTTTGGTTTCACAAGTATAAGTATACTTTCAAGTCTTCTCATCCGGTGAAATACAGGCAAGGGAAAAGGAACAGGAACAGTAAGGAGCTGGTAAAACAGCTGTACATACTGTACGGTACATACAGTATATACATATACATGTACATGTACAATGTACTTCAGAAGAAGTATATGTATTATGTATCTGTATATTGCAAGTGCAGGTGTATTTCGGGCACCTCAGTCTACAGACACGAGTTTTAGTGACTCTCTTGCTATTGCGGAAATAGTGATGTGTTCTCAGCTTTCGAAGATTAAACATGTACATGTACATTACTGTGTAGGATGCTGTAGCCAACTGTTATCTTCTGGTAATGTCTTCATCATCACCAGTCAAGGAACCCAACTTCTTCGCCATTTTCCATTCTTCCGAGGCTGGATCCTGTTGCAGGGTGTGTCTAGTGTGTTCTGTCTTCTCTGCGTTGACATGGAGATTCCATTACTCGAGAACTGTTGCTGCCAAAGGTTCAAGCTGTTTCTAGCCAGGCAGATGCGGTACTGGCAAAATCGGTGTCGTCCACGTACATGTAGATGATGTTGACGGGTAGAGCGCTATCTGCATGACAGCGAGGTGGAGCTGCGGCGAGGACATCGCGGAGTGCTGCGTCTAGATAAACTGCAAATAACAAGTGAGGAAAGTGAATCTCCCTGTGGAGTGCCATTTGCTGTGTGGAGAGGGTTTACAGTAACTCGAAACCTCGAAGTCGAACACTCAGCGCTTAGCTGTGTTACTGTTAGCAAGGAGCAACCCGTACATGTACATGTACATGTAGGTAACTGGTTATCCGCAGTAGGAAGGTCTCCAAAACGGGCAGAAGCCTGTGTCGCTGAACGGTGTGGAATGCTTTTGCAAGCTGTGGCACGTTTACGAAGCGTGGAGATCAACAACTGAATCAGCCGTGACTCGACTCTGCACTCACTACCGGCTACATACTCAGTGGTCTTGACATGAGTAAAGCATCTTGGCATCTTCGCTTGACAATTTCAGGGCTCACAGTCCAATACAAAAGCGTGGAGTCGCGCACGGCTTTGCGCGGATGTCACGTGATGACAACTGACCAATCACAGGCCTCTATTCTCC